AGTATACAACCCTTCTTTCCACGCTTCGTGCCTTATTATAATTAATTCGACCCACTGAACCCTGAACCCAAAAGCCAAGACATGCAAAATCCTGCTAGGCACGGACAACTCCAGCGATTATGCCCCTTCCGAGAACTGGGGAGACTCCTGGGGCAACGAGGGCTGGGGTTACTATGGCTGGAACAGCTATGGATGGGACAACGATGAAGCAGACTGGGAAAGCAAGAGGTCGCTTGGATCATATGTGTTCATGAGATCTTAGACAAGTCTCTGTATGTAGTGCTGCAGACCAGACAATTTAAGGCCACGCCGCAGCGACACGATGCAATCCTTTGCCAGCGAATGGTCGCAGACGGACAGCCCGGGGTCGACCGGTAAGTTCGTCCTGAATGGCAACCCGAACGATGTGTTTTGGCTTGCAGTATAGCAGCAATATGCTTGATCTAAAATGTCAGAGCCCTGTCCATGCATGTCAGCTCTCGGTCTCAGGCTAGAGTGTTGTCCGACGCAGAGAGGACTCGGATCGAAGTGGCTTGCTTGCAACGGATCCTATCTGTGGAGCTTATATCAGTGTTGTCGTCGCTCCCAAATATTTTTAGCTAAGGCTCTGAATGGACCCGAAGACATCGAGCTGAACGAACGGAAAAGGTTGAACGAAGGGCTGAGAAGGAGGATGAGGAACCCAGCAGGCCCGCTGTCGATCGGGATCCCCAAGCCCTAAACCCTGGTCTCAACCCTAAACCCCTAAACCGTAAACCCTAAACCCGAAGCCCTAAACCCTCAACCCTATACAAACCCTATAGCTCCACCATGAAATGAAGGACTTCGCAAAGGATTGGTTGAACAATGGCAAGCAGCTGTATCCCCTGCCGAAAAGCGCCGAAATTGCAATGGTCATGTATTATTAGCACACCCTCAACCCTTTACCTTTGTGTTTGCAGCCCAGGTTCCAGTTCCTGAAGGCTTACCTCCTGGACAAAGAGATGAGCTCCATCGAGGTGCAGCCATACTTTGAGGAGCGACTTAACTCGCAAAACATCGTGATCACCCAAACCTCTCAAACTTCTGATTGCTTCACATCGATCTGAGGCTTTCGGAGCAGAATAACACGGAGCGATTCATCGAATTGCCTCTGATCAAGATCCATGAGCAATACAACCACCTGCCTGGTGGTCCTGCCTTCATTGAACAGCTGAAGAAGGGTGCAACTCTGAGATGCTACTT